GAGCCAGAGACACATTCTCCTTTGCCAGACACACAGCTTGGGATTTCATTTCCCTTGTCCCAGCACAAAGGGCTGTTCACAGACAACTGCTTGGAGACCGAGGTAGTGTCCTCCACAGGCAAGTTAATACCCCGACAGACATGTCCCTGCATGCCTTGCTGAGTCACAAGGTGTATCTGCCTTCTTTCAATGGGTCAGTTGTATAGCTGATGGTCCTTAATAGGCCATCAAGGAGGCAAGGCAGTGCTGATTGGTGAGGCCTCATCTGGAGTACTGTGTCCAGTTTTGGGCCCCACACTACAAGAAGGATGTGGAAATATTGGAAAGAGTCCAGCGGAGGGCAACAAAAATGATTAGGAGTCTGGAGCACCTGACTTATGAGGAGAGGCTGAGGGAACTGGGATTGTTTAGTCTGCAGAAGAGAAGAATGAGGGGGGGATTTGATAGCTGCTCTCAACTACCTGAAGGGGGGTTCCAAAGAGGATGGAGCTCGGCTGTTCTCAGTGGTGGCAGATGACAGAACAAGGAGTAATGGTCTCAAGTTGCAGTGGGGGAGGTCTAGGTTGGATATTAGGAAACACTATTTCACTAGGAGGGTGGTGAAGTACTGGAATGCGTTACCTAGGGAGGTGGTGGAATCTCCTTCCTTGGAGGTTTTTAAGGCCCAGCTTGACAAAGCCCTGGCTGGGATGATTTAGTTGGGAATTGATCCTGCTTTGAGCCGGGGGTTGGACTAGATGACCTCCTGAAGTCCCTTCCAACCCTGATATTCTATGATGACAAATTGTCTGGGGTGTCACCCAGAAGCATAGCACAAGCTTGAAATACAGACAGTATAGATCATTTATAACTTTAAATACACAAATGATACATGCATAGAGATAGCATAATCATAACCAGCAAATCATAACCTTGTCTTAGATACTTTATTTCACCAACTTTATACAAGATTTGGTGCCACTAAAGGACCTTAGTTGCAACAATGATCTATACCAGCGGTGTCCAATACGTTCACCACTAGCCACATGTGGCTAATAGGCTATTGAATTGTGGCCAATGCATGTAGCTTTTTTATAATGTGGCTAATAAGAAAAATTCAAAACCACAAGTGTGGCTAGCATCGAATTTCTATTGGACACCACTGATCTATAAGGTCCCAGTTCATATTAATAACGTCACATTCTAACAATAACTTTGAAACAGGAAGAATGGTATTAATGTGATGCTCCCTGGTTCCCGACAGGAAGGGCACACTCGAATTAGAGACCTATTTGTCCACCTCAAAACAGGGAGAACTGCAAAAGGCAAAAATGGGCCTATCAACTGGACAAACTGGGGTAATGGTGCTGCAAACAGTCAAACAGCTTTAAAAGTTACTATGTGGGAATCAGGAAAAGTATTAAAGAAAAAAAAATAATGGTAACCCTAGAGGTTTTTATGGTGTTTATCTCCTTTGCAGATTCACTGATGCCTAACATGGTCTGAGTGCCAAGAGAAGGTAGTCCTACACTTAATGCATTCATAGGGTCATTCCCTTGAGTGGATTCTCTGATGCTGAAAAAGACCTGATCTTTGAGTGAAACTTTTTCCACACTCACTGCACTCAAAGGGCCTCTCCCCATTGTGGATTCTCTGATGCCTAATAATGGATGATCTGTGAGTGAAGTTTTTCCCACACACACTGCATTCATAGGGTCTCAAACCAGTGTGGATATTCTGATGTTCAGAAAGGGCTGATTTGTGAGTGAAGTTTTTCCCACATTCACTGCATTCAAAGGGCCTCTCCCCTGTGTGGATTATCTGATGCCTAATAAGGTGTGAGCTGTGATTGAAGTTTTTCCCACATTCACTGCATTCATAGAGCCGCTCCCCTGTGTGGATTCTCTGATGTTCAGAAAGCACTGATCTGTGAGTGAAGCTTTTCCCACACTCACTGCATTCATAGGGCCTCTCCCCTGTGTGGATTCTCTGATGTTGAAAAAGACCTGATCTTTGAGTGAAGCTTTTCCCACACTCACTGCATTCATACAGCCTCTCCCCTGTGTGGATTCTCTGATGTTCAGAAAGGCCTGATCTGTGAGTGAAGCTTTTCCCACACTCACTGCATTCATAGGGCCTCTCCCCTATGTGGATCATCTGATGCCTAATAAGGTGTGATCTCTGAGTGAAGCTTTTCCCACACTCACTGCATTCATAGGGCCTCTCCCCTCTGTGGATTCTCTGATGCCTAATAAGCTGTGATCTGGGAGTGAAGTTTTTCCCACACTCACTGCATTCATAGAGTCGCTTCCCTGTGTGGATTCTCTGATGACTAATAAGGGCTGAATAGTCACGTAAGTTTTTCCCACACTCAGTGAATGTATTTTTTCTCTTTCCCCTGAGGATTTCTTGCTGTGTTGTGGTTTCCTTAAGGTCCTTCTGAGTTCCTGGACAGGAAATACATTTACCCACTTTCTCCCCTGGCTGGCTTCCCTGTTCTGTTTCTGTTCTGTGCTGAATCTCACAGGATTTTCCCAGCTCATGACTCCTGGACACGTTCCTTTTCACTCTTTGCGATAATTCTCTGTGTTTATCCACTTGCTCAACATTTTCCTGCTGAGAATTTTGCTCCTCATTCTCACGTACAATTGCATCACCTGCTGTGATAGAGATAGAAACCTCAACCAGGGATGGAAAGGGGAAGAGCAAAATAAAACAAGTACTGGAGAGAGGTCAAATAAAGATCAGAAACTGAATTCCCCCCGAACCCTTCCTGCAAATAGGAGAGAGGAGGGGATCAATTCCGCCTTCACATCCCATCCAAATTCAGAGGGGGAAGGGAGGAAGCTACTTCTGCTAGAAACTATAGGAAGTCATAAGCTATATTTACCCTGAGGATATGACTCCTGCTAGGAACAATAATGAATTGAGAGACCTTCCAAGGGCTTTGTAGGGCATCCCAGATGTTTCCTTCAGGCACTTACAGATTCTGAGTTGGTTTAATGTTTCCTCACCTGTGCAGGGAGCTCTCAGCATCTGTCTTTCCTCTGAACCCTGGAGGTCTGGGACCCATGGTTCTTCCGCTTGTTCCAGTTGGGAGATTATATCCAGTTTGGAAACTGGAAACCCTGCTCATATGAAAGAAAATAAATGATTTCAGGTGATTTCATTAGACTTGGTCATAAAAAACATTGTATTAATTTAATTTCAGTACTTAGTGTGACCTGGTGTGCCTGGAGCAGTCCTCACTGAAAATGCCAAGGTCAGGGCAGGCTGAAAAAGGGAGAGCAGATGCTCCCCAAACTAGTGGTTAACACTGAAGTTAAACTCACTGACCAGTCACAAACTGGGCTTCTGATTCCCCACACTGGTTATCAAGAAGCTGAAAAAAGAAATCACACAGCCCCCTTTATTGAATTCCAGTTCTCTGATGCCCAATCAGCACCCATGTCCAGTACAGTGAGAGGTTATTTAAAAACTCTGCTCACAAAGTGTTCTTCTGACCCCAGAGTCAGCCATGTTACTGGGTCACTATAGGTTTGGACCTTACCCAAAATACCTTGCTGCCAGCCAATCCTTTTGTGACGTTATTGACAGAACCTGTAACCATGGAAATCACTGTTGCAACTACTGTTATATATTTGCAGCAAAAATTGTACAAAGGCTGGTGTTTGAGGTGTCTAGGACTAGGTTATGGCTTGCTGGTTATGATTATGCTAGCTGTATGTGGGTATCATTTTTATAGTTGAAGTTATGAATATTGGCTCTATACTGTCTGTGTTGCAAAATTATGCTATGCTTCTGGGTGACATCCCACACAAGTTGGTATCAGCTCTGCCTAGCCTGCTTGATAAACCAAGAACTTTGCCATTACTGTATGGAATTGATTCCATTTAAACAATTCTAGCTCTTTTTCCTTTTATGAATAAACATTTAGGTTTCAGATTCTAAAGGATTGGCAACAGCGTGATTTGTGGGTAAGATCTGATTTGTATATTGACCTTTGTCTGGGACTTGGTCCTTTGGGATCGGGAGAACTTTTTTCTTTTACTGGGGTATTGGTTTTCATAACCATTGTCCCACATAACGAGTGGTACTGGCGGTGATACTGGGAAACTTGAGTGTCTAAGGGAATTGCTCGTGTAACTTGTGGTTAGCCAGTGTGGTAAAACCGAAGTCCTCTCTGTCTGGCTGGTTTGGTTTGCATTAGAGATGGAAAAACCCCAGCCTTGGGCTGTAACCGCCTCGCTTGAAGCAATTTGTCCTAAATTGACACTCTCAGTTGGGTCCCACCAGAACCACCATTGTTACACCTTTAGCATCAAAACTAAAGGTTTATTATAAAAGAAAAATAGAAAGAAAAAGGGAGTTGTTAAATGGGAAAGCAGTCATATACATTCCAAAATCTATATATTGGGTTCTTAGCAGTATTGGTGAGTTGCTGGCTTGAAAGTCCATCTGGAACCCATCCAGTTTGGATGGGTCATTCAGTCCTTTGTTCAAGGCTTCAGTTTATAGAGAAGTTGCTCCAGAGGTAGGAAGAGGGATTGAAGACAAAATGGAGATGATGCAGCTGCCCTTTATATTCCTTTTGCCATGTGGCTTGTACTTCCTGTATCCTATACATAAGCTTCACAGCACAGGGCATGGAAAAGCCTTGGAGTTCTCAGTACATAGGCATACCCCTGAATGTCTTGCTGACTCAATAGGTGTATGCCCTTGATCATGAGAGGGCAAACTACAGCCCACGGGCCATATCTGGCCCGCAGGACGGTCCTGCCCAGCCCCTGAGCTCCTGGCCAGGGAGGCTAGCTCCCCCTCTTACTGTTCCCCCTTCCCTGCAGCCATGCCACTGTGCAAGTAGTGCTCGGGGGGGGGGTGCTGCGCTCCTGCCGGGCAGCATGTCTGTCTCCACATGGGCCACATGGCTGCCAAACATGCTGCTCTGAGCAGCATGGTAAGAGGGCCGGGGGTTTGGACAAGGGGCAGGGAGTCCCAGGGGGCAGTCAGGGGACAGGGGGTGGTTGGATGGGGCTGAGGTTCTGGGTGTGTGTGTCAGGGGACAGGGAACATGGGTGTTGGATAGGCGTGGTAGTCCCAGGGGTCTGTCAGGGGCTGGGTGGGTCAATAGGGGTTGGGGCAGTCAGGGGACAGGGAGCATGGGGGGGTGGGTAGGGGGTGGGAATTCGGAGGGCAGTTAGGGTGGGTGGTCTCGGGAGGGGGCGGTCAGGGGACAAGGAGCAGGGGGGGTGGGAATTCGGAGGGGGCAGGGCCAAGCTGTTTGGGGAGCCTTGACTACCTGGCCCTCCATACAGTTTTGTAACCCCATGTGGCCCTTGGGCCAAAAAGTTTGCCCACCCCTGCCCTTGATCCTTTCCATGGGCTCATTGTACAGCTGATGACCGTGAATGGACCATCGAACAGCCTAGGCAGTGCTGATGCCAATATGTCTGGGGGTGTCATCCAGAAACACTGCACAAGTCTGGAAATACAGATATACTCTAAATATCTATAACTCACACTACAAAGGAGATATAAAGATAGAAACAAAATTATCATACTTGGAAAATCATTTTACATGCCATATCTAGGACGATTCATTGCAATTTTATCACATTATATTATTATTATTTTATTATTAATACCAAAGTGCCTCATTTCCATACAGTGTCACGCTTCGTAAACCAGTGAATTCCCAGGACCAGCTCCCCATGTCCTTGAAGATGCAAAACACTCTGCTTATGAGGGATTGAAATATCCACATATCTGCTGGGACCGGACACAGACACTGTGTCAGTCTGTACCCCTATGTTGACTCTTCAAGAAAATTATGACCAATTTTGTACATAGTATAGCTTCTGAGGTATCATTTGAAAACACATAATCTACTGAATATTATCCTCCTGTTAAAATACGTGTAGCAACACTGTATGTAAAGTTATGAGATTTTACTGTATTATATTACTGAAAAAGTTACAATTTTGGGAAACCCCCCCAGACCACTTCCTCAGAGACAGCAAGGCAAACAGCTGGTCAAATAGCCATTCTCTGGAGGGGGAAGGTGTGAGGAAGACATTTACATTCCTTCATAGGGACCACTGGAAGCTCATATCTACAACAGACAGCCTGTCACCATGATTCAGCTGAGAACTGAAGTTGTTTCTAGTACAAAGGACTGAACTATTAAAAGAGGTGAGGAAAATGCTTGACAATCTCTCTCTCTCTCCCACCTTTCCCTCTGCTCATGACAACTCCTGAAGAACTGAACTTGGGCGGCAGGGACAGGTTAGGGGGAGTCCTGGCTGAAACAAAAGCCAGCCTGTCTCAGCGAATGGTGAAAGAAACATTTGCTTTGAATCCGTTTTAGTTTGTCAAGTTAAACATTGGTTTGTGTTTTATCTTCCATTTATTTTGTAAACAATTCTGACTTTAATGCCTCATTACCCATAGTCACTTAACTACCAAAAAAATAAAATAAAAGATTTTAACAATCTTGTTTAATCCAAACACACTGGTTAGATAGAACAATAAAAGTGTGTTGGAAACTCCATTTAGGATAACAAGGCTGGTGCATGTCATTTTCCACTGATTAAATGACAGACTTCATATAAGCTTGCGTTGTTCAGTAATGTGCTGGACAGGGCAAGATGCACATTTCTGGGGGAAGACTGGGAGCAGAGAATTTTCTGGGGCTCTCCGGTGGTGTACTGTAATTTTTTATAGACTTTAAGGTCAGAAGGGACCATTATGATCATCTAGTCTGACCACCTGCACAATGCAGGCCACAGAATCTCACCCACCCACTCCTGTAACAAACCCCTAACCTATGTCTGAGTTATTGAAGTCCTCAGATCGTGGTTTGAAGACATCAAGCTGCAGAGAATCCTCCAACAAGTGACCCGTGCCCCATGCTGCAGAGGAAGGTGAAAAACCTCCAGGGCCTCTGCCAATCTGCCCTGGAGAAAAATTCCTTTCCGACCCCAAATATGGCGATCAGTTAAACCCTGAGCATGTGGGCAAGACTCACCAGCCAGCACCCAGGAAAGAATTATCTGTAGTAACTCAGATCCCACCGCATCTAACATCCCTTCACAGACCACTGGGCATACTTACCTGCTGATAATCAAAGATCAATTG